CCTCCTCCTCCTCCTCCTCCTCCTCCTCCTCCGCCCCCTTTCCGCCCAATGTCGAAACGCCGTAGAAGAGATCTACCAGAAGCCTGGGAACACACCAGGCTGGATTCACATTCGGAGCGTTCGGAGGGCACGTGCTGGATACACGTGCGGAGACTGGCGTGCGTGTCCGAGGAAGGGCGGAGCGCTGGAAAAAACACATCTGGCCACATGCGTATCCAGCTCTCGCCCAGGCCAGCCACGTCATGCGTGTCCAGCTTACCGATGAGGGCACGCGCTCGCCATCCAGGCAGTTCAAATCTGCCTGAGGGGGCCCAAGGCATGTGTGGGTCCCTGGAGCCGTTGAGGGGGGATGCGAGAATCCTATGGGGCACCTGATGGCAGGCTGATTTCTTATCTGATGTGCCTACCGCAAGGAACTCGGACCGGATCGGAGGGTGCGTGAAATCGGGCCGCATCGGCACGGAGTCGAACTCGCATCGCATCGGCCGCGCCGGCGTGCACGGCAGCACCGCGCAGGCCATCTGGCCGCATCGCATCGCTCGAGCATCGGAATCGAACCGGCTCGAGCAGGCGCACTCGACTCGTGACCTCGAACTCGGGCGGACTCGAACACGCGGAGTGGGCCCCGCCTCGGGATCCCTCGCCGGCACGCGGGCGCGGTCGTGCGCGCGGAGCTGCGAGCGCCAGCGGCCGAAGCCGTCGAGCATGTCCCCGTGGAGGCTGCGCAGGGCCTCCCGGAGGAGGTGCTGCTCCTCGACGGCCTCCCCCCGTCCGACGCTGACGTCCGCGACCATGGCGCACTCCGAGCGCCAGAGCGACAGCAGGTGCTCGAACTGGTTGCGGGCGCTGTCCGCCTGGAAGCCGAACGTCGCCTGGGAGGAGGGCGCCGACTGGATCGGCGACGCGCAGGAGTGACCCTAATTACAGGGCAGTTTTTAATACATCGGATTTTCAAAATATCGGATTTTTTAACACATGATTAATTATCTCATCGTTGATTTAAAATGCTAAATCACGCGGAGCATGCATTAAAAACGACAGGCAGGAGTGCCCCTCGGTGCGCGCCTTGCGGGGGGCGCAGAGGAGGCAAACCCGAGCGCGGGAGCCGCTGCCATCGCATCGCACCCGGCCATCTTGGGACCCCCAAGTTCGGCTACACGCAAGAGCAGCCCTGGGCAGGAGTGACCTTCGGTGCGCGACCTTCGGGGGCCACGGGGAGGCCAAACCCGAGTGCGGAAGACGCTGCCATCGAATCGCACTCAGGCATCTGGGGCCCCAAAGGCGTGCCCGCAACAAAGATCACTCTGGCGAAAGGCCACTCTCACGCGTAGCCGAGGCTATATGCCAGCGCCAGTCCCGGCCAGGCCCATTCTGGGCCCGCCCTTCGTTGCACACGCCCTCCTGGCTTGGGCACGAGTATCTGCACACCGAATCTGGGGCCAGGACAGGCCTGGTCAGGATCGGTGTACAGTCGGACCCAGGCCAGAAGAACATCCTTCACGAACATGGGACGCTCCGCCGGCACAAATACACAGAGCACCCGAGGGCATTCTCAGAATGGGCAGCATCTCCCCAGGATGCTCAAGAACATCCGACACACACGAAGAGCACGAATTGGGGCGCCCTCCCCGAACCGACCTCGATCTTAAAGACCTCGGCCCGACCACACGCAGGTGTACAGGTGGCGCCCTCAGGCCTGCAGGCTGCTGAAGAGGTGCGCCGACGTGTCCGCGAAGCCCACCGCGTCGCCGAGCACGCGGAGGCACGACCTCTCCGCGAACCGGCCCTGCAGCTCCGCCCTGAGCCCGCGGCCGCCCACCGGCGTCTTCTCGTCTGCGACGGCGGGCATGCACGGCACCGGCTCCTCTCGCCACGCCGGGAACGCGGAGGCCTCCCGGGCGTGGTCCGAGCAGATGGGGCCGGAGGATCGCGCCGCACCGCCGATGCACCGGCGACGTCGGCGACGCCTCGGCGCCGCCGGCGCGGAGAGAACATCGGGCTCAGCATCGAGACGCATCGGCGATGCATCGGTGATGCATCGGCGATGCGGCGCGAGCCTCCGACCCCGTCTGCTCGGAGCCCGTCCGGGAGGCCCGGAAGAGCGCGCGAGCGGCGACCACATCTGCATTCGCGCCCTCTTCGAGGCCTCCCGGGCGCGCTCCCTCGGATACGCCATCGCTCGGATGCGTCTCGCGCGGGGCAGCCGCGAGCAAGAACAAAAAAAACGCCCTGCATCCACGGGGCAGCGGCGGCCCCGGGGCTCGGCCCGCGAGGCCGCGGAGGCGCGTGCTGTCCGCCCACGAGCACGGGGGCGGGGAGAATGTCGAGGGCGCCCCGCAGCAAACGTTGGGCAACAACGACAGCGGCCGCTGCTGGGCAGACAACGCTCCTCCTCCTCCTCCTCCTCCTCCTCCTCCTCCTCCCCTCCTCCTCCTGCTCTCCTCCTCCTCCTCTCCTCATCCTCTCTCCTCCTCTTCGTCCTCCTGTCTGCTCCTGCTCCCTGCCTCCTGCTCTGCTCCTGCTCCTGCTCTGCTCCTGCTCCTGCTCCTGCTCCTGCTCCTGCTCCTCCTCCTCCTCCTCCTCCTCCTCCTCCTCCTCCTCCTCCTCCTCCTCCTCCTCCTCCTCCCCCCTGGGCTTCTCCTCCTCCCTGGCTGCGCTGCTTGGCGGGGTCTTACGCAATACGTTATATCATACCTCACGCCGCGGCTGGCGCGGGCCGCCAGCGTGGCACGCCACATTGAAAACGAGGGCGCCTGCGCGCGACCTTACGCGGGCAGCTTACGCGCCAGTGTCGGCGCAGACGATCCCGTTTCTCTGGTGAGGCCAAGGTGGACAGCGCCCGAGGCGGCACCGACAACGGTTTCTGCTCAGAGAACAACCGCCGTGGGCTTCCGTCCCCCATTCTTCCCGTCCTCATCTCGAATGCTGCCAGGCAGCCTCTCAAACGCCAGGACACGAAAGAGGAGCGAGGAGTAGGAGGAAGACGAGGAGGAGAAGGAGGAGGAGGAGGAGGAGAAGAAGAAGAAGAAGAAGGAGGAAGGAGGAGGGAGGGAGGGAGGGCGGGACGGGAAGGGGAGAGGGAGGGAGGGAGGGAGGGAGGGGAGGGAGGGAGGGAGGAGGGGGGAGGGAGGGAGGGGAGGAGGGGGAGGGAGGGAGGTAGGGAGGGAGGCGAGGGAAGGATGGGAGGGAGGGAGGGAGGAGGAAGGAGGAGGGAGGGAGGGAGGGAGGGGAGGGAGGGAGGGAGGAGGAGGAGGAGGAGGAGGAGGAGGAGGAGGAGGAGGAGGAGGAGGGAAAGGGAGGTAGGCAGGAGGCAGGAGAGGAGGAGGAGGAGAGGGAAAGGGAGGAGCGACGAGGAGGAGGAGGAGGGGAGGAGGAGGAGGAGGGAGGGAGGGAGGGAGGGAGGGGAGGAGGGGGGGGAGGGGAGGGAGGGGAGGGAGGCAAGCTAGGTGCGCTCGCGTCATATCTGACATCCTACCCCTTCCTCCCATCCCTTACCATGGCGTAGTTCCCCTCTCTACTCGCACAGTCGGTTGTCGAGCAGGGCAATGATCCCGAAAGGGTGCGCGATGCACTGTAGAGCACGGCATGGCATGGCGTAGAAGAGCACCGCAAAGCGTAGCATGTCACAGCATGGCGTGGCGTGGCGTAGTGAAGAATTGCATCACAAAGCTTTGCAACGCAAAGCATGGCATCGCACAGCGGCCCCGAACATAACATTGCATAATTAGCATGGCGTTGAAGATCAAAGCGTAGCATGGCATAGCACGACGTGGCACTTAAGCACTGCATATCAAACTTCAGCTGAGGGCATGGCATCGCGCAGCGGAACGCAACCTAGCATTGCATTGTATGCCGTGGCATGGCACGGGAAATGACGCCAGTGCTGCAGCGGGAGCACGATTCGGAACGAGCGGAAGCGCGGAAAGGAGGCCAACGCTGCAGCGGGAGCACGATTCGGAACGAGCGGAAGCACGGAAATGAGGCCAGCGCTGCAGCGGGAGCACGATTCGGAACGAGCGGGGCCCGAAAATGAGGCCGGCGCCTCAGCGAGAGCAGCATTTTGAAAAAAAATGCAGGCGAAAACCCAACTCCGGGGAATCCTGTGTGTAAAAAAACAATACGCGGGGGGGGGACGAACACTCCCAGCCCGTCATCAGGGGAAGGAGGAGAGTAGTATTCATGTTGAGTAACTGTGGAGGGCGGGGGGGGAGGAGGGGGGGAGGGAGGGGGAGGAGGTGAGGAAGGGAGAGCGGGGCGCGATCCCCAACACAACGCCACAGTGTGCCCGCATCGGGCTGCCCTCGATCGCGCCGGTCCTCCGGCACGGCGGGCAGGTGGGAGCCGGCGGGTGCGCCGCCCGCCCGCCGGGGCCCGTCGGGGCGGCGGGCGGGGGCGCAGAGGGGGACCACGGCCGCGGCCACGACGAGGAGCACGAGCAGCCCGGCGGGCACGAGGAGCGCGACGGTCTCGATCGTCAGGTCGGACCTCTTCGCCTCCTCCTCCTCGCTCCTCCTCCTCCCCCCCTCCTCCCTCCTCCTCCTCCTCCTCCTCCGTTCCTCTCCTCCTCCTCGCCTCCTCCTATTATTCGACTTCCCTCCTTCATCGCTCCTCCTTCATGCTCATCCTCCCCCTCCTCCTCCTCCTCCTCCTCCCATCCTCCTCCCTCCTCCCCTCCTCCTCCTCGCTCCTCTCTCCTCATCTCATCCTCTCCTCCCTCCTCCTCCCCTCCCCTCCTCCTGCCATCTCCCTCCTCCTGCACTCCTCCTCCGCCCTCATGCTCCTCCTGCTCCTCCTCTTCCTCCTCCTCCTTCCTCCTCCTCCTCCTCCTCCTCCTCCTCCTCCTCCTCCTCCTCCTCCTCCGGCTCCTCCGGCTCCTCCTCCTCCTCCGTACGGTAAGGTCGGGCCTGTCCTCCTACAGGGGGATCTTGGACAAAAAAAAACATAGTCAAGAAATGCCGCAACATGGCCAACAAACACTCGAAGCCTCGTCCCCCAGACTATTGTTCCCTATGTCTGGAGATGCCTCCTGTAGAGGGACGTGCCCGACTCAACCGTACGCGGCCGTCGTGCTGCCGTGGGCAGCGGCAGACGAGGCGCGCAGCCCACCTCCGGGCCGGGAGGCGCCTGGGCGCACGAGGAGCGCAGGAGGAGCAGCCGCGGAGGGGCCCGGGGAGCCGCGGGCCCCGGCCGAGCCCGAAGCGTTTCGGACTTCGGCGTCGTGACTGTGCTCGACCACGGACTCCTTGCTACACGTTGGCCTCGGGCTATGCTGCTCCCGTCGCACTTCAGGGCCGCATCGCAGAAGCAAATTTCGAGCACCCAGAAGAGTGTCGAAGCAGCGTCGAGCGCGTATCGCCTCCGAGGGCCCGGCACGTCAGAAAACCCTCCAAGCTCAGCATGTTCCTGGTACTCGAAATTCTTTCTGGTGGCCAAGGCTAGAGCACTTTGGACCATCACAAGCCTCGGGCGGACTTCGGCGGTCTGCTGACGGTCTTCGGCGGTTCACGATGGTGTTTGGCGTGGGATGGTCAAGTTTGACCAGAGGTCCATCATCGAACCCCTGATGTTGTGGATACCACGACAATGGACACCCTAGCAGTCCGATCATTGAATTTATGTGTTAAACATGTTTTTTTTTATGTTTGAAACATGTTTAATACATGTTTTAGACATCTGGGAACTATCTGGCAACATGCTTCCTCTCCACTGATCGCCGTCCACAGCCCTAATGGACGTTGCAGCGTGACCCTCTCCGCCGCCCGGGGACGCCTGTCCCGGGGCGGCCGGGCAGCTTCCTCCTCCTGCGTGCCGCCGTGAGGGCGCAAACTTTCCAGCCGCTCGGGGACGGGCGCCCCCCGACGACGGACCTCACCGGCGACCGGCGACGCGCAGATACGCGTATCCATGCACTCGCGGACCGGGCTCCGAGGCGAGATCCCGTGCACACGCGATCTCGTGGAATGCGTCCCGCGCGGGGCACCCGCGGGAAGCCGCCTCCCCATGCGCACGGCAGCGCGGCCGAAGAGTCCGGACCCGCGAGGCCGTGGGCGCGGGTGTGCGCGGGCGCCCACTCTCGACGTCGGCGCCGTTCGAAGGGGCGAGAGCAGGGCACACGAGGGACCAGATCTGGCCGAGACTGGCGCGCTCCCCCGAGACGCAGACCACAGCATCGCCACTCCGATCCCCATCGGCCGACATCTCGGCCGGAGCCCATGATATGTGCTCCCCGCCCACGAGGGAGAGCCTATACGTCTGCACCGCTCTTCGCCCGCGGGCGACCACGCCGACAGCGTGTCCACGCAGAACGGCGGGCCCGGGATCGTGCAGCTCTCGGTGCCATCCATGACGACGGAGCCCCACGCGTTGATGGCATAGTACGCCGCGCCGGTGGCGTTGCCCTGCTCGAGGAGCACCCTGGCCAGGACGCACGCGGCCTCGGCGCGCCCGGACTTGCGGGTCCAGAGCGCCTCGTGCCGGAGGGCGAGGGCGCTTCCTTCCGATATGGCCCTCTGGTAGTCCCCGCTCGCGCTGCGCACCTCTTGGTCGACGCCGGCCGTGTACCAGAACAGCTCGACGTACAGTCGGACTCGATTGGAGAGGACACGCGAGAGGACACAAGACCCTTGCGCAGGCCACGTCGCCACAGGAGTGTGAGAAGGCACGCGTCGCGAGGCACAGGACGCAAGGGCACCCTTGAGCTGGCAGGGTCGACCTACGAGTCCGGGCCGCCTGTGCGCTGCCGCGGGCGCAGGCACGCGCGCAATCGGGGACGGGACTGGTGCGGTGCACGGGCGGCGCCGTCCAAACCGCGCGCGGAGTGGTGGCGCGGGGGGGGCGGCCAGCTCAGAGGGCGGGAAGACAGGAGCCTCCTCACCAGGGCCCGGAGGCTTCTCAGAAGCCCCCCCCCGCCGCCTTCTCAGAAGGCCGCCCCGGTGCGCCGCCTCCCCCAGGCGCGCGCCGCCAAGGCCCCTGCGTTCGCCGGCGCACCTTGCCGCAGTTCAGCTCGACCAGCGTCCCCAGGTCGTCCTCTCTGCAGGGGCCCAAGGACACACACACACAAACAAATGCACACAGATCCCAGGGGTCCCCCATCTTTTCCCATATTTTCTGGATCTTCGACGTCTTCCCCCCAACCTCCCATAGCCGAACACCACGGAGATTAATCCCACAGGGATAATAAAGTTCGGGGTCGCGAGGGGATTATAAATGTTGCCTACTGGAGGCCAGCATGTGGGAGGAGAAAGAGATGATGTTAAGAGGACCGAAAGCCGAGGATCGAGGATCGAGAATCGAAGTCCGAGGATCGAGAATTGTTGGTTCCGCTTGAGACATCCTTGAACAACTGCTCGTTTCGCTTGAGGCTGCTTCCAAAAAATGTTGGTTTCGCTTGAGACATCCTCGACAACGTCTTCGCTTCGTTTGATGTTGCTATCTCAACATAAGAGGGAAGTTCACCTCGATGGTGAACTTTTCACAGTGATAAGTTATCCCAGTGCGACCCTACCTAGGAGTTGGAACCCCTAGGAAAGCAGCATTAGTAGTAACAGTAACGCTAAGCTAAAGCTAAGCTAAAGCTAAGCTACAGCTAAGCTAAAGCTAAGCTAAAGCTAAGCTACATCTAAGCTAAATCTAAGCTAAAGCTGAGCTAAAGCTAAGCTAAGTCTAAGCTAAAGCTAAGCTAAAGCTGAGCAACAGCTAAGCTAAAGCTAAGCTACAGCTAAGCTACAGCTAAGCTAAAGCTAAGCTAAAGCTATGCAAAAACTAAGCTAAAGCTAAGCTAAAGCTACGCTAAAGCTAAGCTAAAGCTAAGCTAAAGCTAAGATAAAGCTAAGCTATAGCTAAGCTCAAGCTAAGCTAAAGCTAAGCTACAACTAAGCTAAAGCTAAGCTAAACGCTAAGCTAAACGCTAAGCTAAAGCTAAGCTACAGCTAAGCTAAAGCTAAGCTAAAGCTAAAGCTAAAGCTAAAGCTAAAGCTAAAGCTAAAGCTCCCAGGGGACTGGGGGGAACCGCGGGGCGGGGACTGGGGGAACCGCCCGGGGCGCTTTCCACTGCCCGGCCCCTTTAAGCTAGAGAGTAAGAACCCTTCTAGGCAGAGCCTAGGTAGGGAAAAAGTTCGGCCTCCGCGCCCCGCGCCCCTGACCAAACTCTTCTTGGCCGTGGATAATCAACTCTAACCTGGAAAGGGGGGGTCCTTTTTTATCATCGGCACAAGGTTATTTTCCTATATTTTCTGGGAGTCGGCGATGAATTGTGCCTGTGTGTTTTCCCCCTCCCGAGTGAGGCACCAGGGCGGGCCTCTGGGGGCAGCCCAAGGCTGATCCCGAGACCAGCGTGCCCCCTCCCGAGCGATCACCGCTGCGGCCCCGGGGGCCCCTCGCCGGCCCCGGCAGGCCCGAGGGCAGCGAGAGACCTCGGTGAAGCCCCCTCTGACTACGTACCAGACCACCCCAACCCAACCCGAAGACCCGAATTTCGGGTCGGGGGAGGGGTAAGGGTTGCACACGTGTTTTTGCTGTGTTTCCCGACACCCCCCCACTGGAAATCGAGGGTAAATCTGAGCCTTCGGGTTTGGTTGGGGTGGTTTGGTGGGTGGTGACCCTCTCCCGCGGGACCCCCCCGCGCGGCCGTCCTCCGAGTAGCCCGCGGGCGAGCTGTACCGGAAGCCGGCCAGGTCGATCTCGGGCAGCGTGGTCGACGAGGTCGCGGTCGAGGTCCGGGTGGTCGCGGTGGTGCTCCCCGGCGCGCCGGTGCCGGGCGCGTCGGGGTCTGCGGCTGCACCACACCACTTCCCGCCGCACGAGTCTGGGAGAGGAGGAGGAGGGCGAGGAGGGGGAGGGGGAGGAGGAGGAGGAGGAGGAGGAGGAGGAGGAGGAGGAGGAGGAGGAGGAGGACGGAAACCGCTGCTCCCCTCGGGCCTCCCCGGGGGCGCGCTCTGGCCAGGATTCCCTTTAGGCGAAGCCGGCCGTGGCACCGCTGCGGAGGCCCCGAGCGGCGCGGGCGCGGGGAGGGCATACCGAGGTCGGTGTGAGTTGCTCCCCGGCAGGCCCGTGCACTCGACAGCGTATCTCGAGCAGACGTCGCCCGCCGCCTGCGACTGGCAGTCGGTGCACCCGTCCGGCTCCGGCGTGTAATAGCAGCAGTAGCCTGGTTTGATGGATGGTGCTATTCGCCTGTTGATATGTTACTGCTGTTGTGCTCTGTTCCATGGCAGTTTTAGCATCCGCAGTGGCCTTCCACTTGGCGGGCGGCCGTCGCGATGAGCACTGCCGTCAGCAGAGACGCCCCTGTCCTCATCGCCCAGGTGTCTTGCACGTCTGGCAACGACGGATCCCTAATCTATCAGCCGAGGCGGGGCAGAAATGACTGATCGGCCTTCTTTGAGGCGGCGGGTACCTGAGCCAAGCTGGACACGCACAAAGGAGGAGGAGGAGCAGGAGGAGGAAGGAGACCCAGACTCCGCAGCCGTGTTGGGCTCAGGCCGTGCCCGATACCGAATAAGTGTACCCCTTCGCGGTCGGGCCCTTGACCGGCACAGAGCAATGCAAGAACCGCATCACCGCAGCTGTCGGAGGTCCGCGCGGACTGCTCGGATCGGCGCTGGCCGGCCCCCCTTCCTGGCGCGCGGAGCGTGCAGGGGGCGGCGCCGCAGGCGCCGCCAGGGGGGCCCAGTGCAGATCCAAGATATCCGCACGAAGCTTCGACCGCTTCTTATTGTTCTAAGTTGCTGTCTTCAGCTGCAGTAGCGCCACGGAAGTAGCCTAGGCGTTGCTGCGAGTTGTGGCGGAGGCGAGTGTACCGCGCCAAGCGGTGGCAGCCACTGCCTCGGCGCCCTGGTGGGCATGTGGCAGCGCTTCCAGCTACCGAGGCCGACGCCATCACGAAGGAGGTCGAATAGCGCCCCGATGTGGCGCGGCCCTACACGCCGTTTATTTCTAATCGTGTTCATTTCTAATTCTGCTCGTTTCTAATTGTTCCTGGCCCCCTCGTGGCCAGGAAGGGGCCCAGGATAGAACACTTAGAAATGAAAGGATCTTGGCCCCCCACAAAAGCTCAAAGAACCTTCGAAAAAGTAGAAACTAACAACGTGTGCCTCCCAAGACATCCCCGCGTCGCGGTCAAAGTCGCGACGGAACAGCAACCAGCTGGCCTCGGCCTCTGTGGGCCCCTGCCGGGCCCCGCGATGGTCAAACGCGACTCGCGGAGCGACGAGCTGGACCACGGGAAGAGGGCCACCTCTGGGGAGCCAACGTGGTGAACAGGTCGCGCTGCCGGACGTCTGGGCAATCAAGAGAAGGCTATGGTGGACGGCCCACTTCTTCCCCATATCCTAAGATGGGGTTCGTGTTATTACTTGGACGCCTCCTACTCCCTCTTCTTCTCCTCCCCTCCTCTCGGACTTACTCATGCCCAGACTTACTCATACCCAGACTTACTCATCATCATTCCCCCCTCGCTCGCCGCCGATCCTCATCTTCATCTTCATCTTCATCTTCATCTTCATCTTCATCATGATCATCATGATCATCATGATCATCATGATCATCATCATCATCATCATCATCATCATCATCATCATCATCATCATCATCATCATCATCATCATCAATTTCCCTCTTCCCCCCCTCCTCATGCTGGCTCTCCCTTCTCGGAGGTCTCCAGTGGTCTCTGACGGAGCTCTCCAGGGGCCTCCAGCCGTCTCCGGGAGCGCCTGAAGACGTCTAGACATCTCGATAAGCGATCCTGCTCTTTCTCGTCCTCCTCACGTTCCTCCTCCCTCCTCCTTCTCCTCCTCCTCCTCCTCCTCCTCCTCCTCCTCCCTCTCCTCCGCCTCCTCCTCTTCCTCCTCTTCCTCCTCTTCCTCCTCCCCCCTCCTCCCTCCTGCTTCCTCCCTCCTCCTATCCCTGCTCCCGCCCAACCTCCTTCCGGCGCCAAGAGGTGTGTTCAACAACGTGTACAAGCTGTCGTTCGGTTTTTTTCCATGACGAAGGACGGCTGGGTGCTGGGTCCTCTTCCCCAAGATTGGACACAGGCCCCTTTTCTGAGGGTTAGGTCGGGCGTGTCCTCCTACAGGCAGATCTTGGATGAAACATGATAGATAATCAAAAATATTTCAAAATAGACCAAAAAAGGTACATCGTCCCCAGGCTATTGTATGACAATGTTTTGGATATCCCTCCTGTAGAAGGACATGCCCGATTCGATCCTAGGGTGCGTTCTGACTCAAGCTTCCAGGCCGAATCCAGCCGTGGTCACGGGGGGCGCCCTGGGAGGCCCCACACCGGCGCAGAGAGCCCCCCGGGATGCAGATCCTCGCTCCTGGATCCCCCTCCCCTGCGAACGCAACGACGCAACATTCCAGCACCGAGATCCCAGTTCTAGGATCCTCCCCCCCATCCCTCCTCCTCCCCCTCCCGCCTCTTCCACCCACAAAAGTTCTCTATGAGCAACTCCTCCCTGTCACACCTACGCACGTGTCGGTAGGGCGGGCCGGGCGTTTCGCTTGAGACAGCCTCACCACTGACGACCCTGACCCTTGGATATGTGCAGAAGCTTCAAAGATGGAGAGCGGGTCCTTTTGAAAATGTGGCTATCAAGTAGCGGGGCGCCGCCCGCGATCGTTTCTGGTTTTCTGCGCCGTAAACTCAAGAGCTCTGTGAACCAAACGTCAGCGGTCTGAGCGGGTGAGAGGGGCAGCGGCACTGGCAGGCTGGGAAAGGGGATGATCGCAGATGCAATTCAATACCCGTCCTCGATCATCCAAGCTACATTGTTCGAGACCGATCGGTCGACCGCTCAAGCCAGCGTCCGTGAAACCGATCTCGGCGGAAGTGGCGCGGAAACGCCGCGAAACAAAGTCGGAAATCCCGACTCGCACATGAGAGTAGCCTGTTGCATGCCATCACGCACCCTGGTGCTGGTTCTGCTCTGAGCGTCGAGTGCCCGACGCTCGTTCGCACGCCTGTGGCGTGCCGCCCGTGTCGCCTCCTTCGCGGAGGCTGCCTCGGCAGAGACCTTCACGCTCACGTAGCCGTCGTGCATTGCGGTAGTCAGGTAGCCTCTCTCGGCTTCGAGCTTCGTCAGAGCGTCCGCCAGCTGAACAGAGGTGTCGCACCACTCCAGGTCCACACCATCTTGGCTGAGCAATCTCTCGTAAGGCCGCAATGACCACTCGAACTCGACGGTCTGCGATCTGGCCAGCATCCGCGAGCAAGTGGGTGACTAGGCTGTTCGCATCATCGAACCACTTGGCTGGGATCAGGGTCGCAGCATCGTCCACCAGGTCGCCCAGCGGCTGGTTGGGCTTGTCAATTTCGTAGTACAGCGCCCGGATCCACTCCAGTGCTTCAGCTCCCTCACTGAGTCCGTGTGTTTCAGCTCCCATCGACGCTCGACAAACTGTTTTGATACGTGAGCTTCCCCAGTCCAAGAAATGCACTGGTCCTTCTTGATGTTTGTAGAGGCCGTCGTCGCTGAGTAGGCACACGAACCCGAGCTGTGACTTCACCTTCTCGCCAATCGGCCCAGGTCGTAGTCGTCGACGTTGTTGAGGCTGCTGTCCGCAAACACGACTGAGCCTAGATCTTCGCCCTTATGTAGAATGTCGCTTCGGAAGTAGATGCACGCCTCACGCGTCTCCTTGCAGTAGCGAACCAGCTGATTCATCTCCAACAGGTGCTGCACGGTCGCATGGTTCTTCTGCTGCGCCAGCCAGCTGTAGCCGAATGAGACGTCCATACGAAGCTGTCTCGATAGCCATCCGAGTGAGCCAATTACCGACTCCGCAGCGCTCCGCTCCTCGTCCGTAGCCATCGCCTTGGTCTGTTTCGCCCTGGCCGGGGACACCACGACAGTCTCCATCTGGTCGATGAAGTGCGTCATGCTGATCTTGATCGCGTAGTCTGCCATCTGCTCTACGTCCTTGCCGCAGTACCTGAAGGGCGGCTTCTCCTCCGTCAGCAGCAGCACCCGCTTGAGCTCGTCCGTCGTGGCCTTGAACAAGTCGCTGTTGGGGTCGCCCGTCGCGAACAGGTCGTCCACGTAGGTGCCGACGAGGCCGACGAGCCTGCCGTGCTCGAACAGGAAGAAGAACGCCCTCTCCAAGCGGCTCTCCTGCCACGAGTTGCTCCGCAGCGTCCTCCGTAGCTTACTCCACCACTTCCTTCCAGCGTCCTTCGTGCCGTAGATCGCGCCGTGGCAAATGAACACCGATCCTTGCTCAACTCCTGGTGGTAGTGGCGAGGGAGGTCGCAGTACGAGCATCCTGTCGACGTCGTCTCCTTGCAGGTAGGCACTCGCGGCGTCGAGCTTGTAGAGTGGCCAGTGCTTCCTGGCCGCCGTGCTGCAGATCACGTGGAACATAAGCAGGGACGACGTAGGCGAGTCCATCCTCACATGGACCGACTCGTTGCAGCCGACCGCCACCAACCTGGACTTCGCCTTCAGAGAGCTTCGGGTCGTACTCGTTCTTGTTCGTGTGTACCCATCTCGACGGCATCGCCTTGACCCGACCTAGCAGCTCCTTGGCCGCGTCGCCCGTGACCACGGTTGCCGCCCTGAAGTTGCGCCAGTTGTCCCACTCCTTGGCCATGCTCGCGTCGAAGAGGAGCTTGTCCGCCTTCGTGAGGTCCGCGAGCTTGAGCTCCTTCCCTCTGGACTTGCCGGTCAGCCAGGCGCACTGCATCCAGGCGTAGAAGACAGCGTCCGAGTCGGGCTCCGCCAAGAAGGCTGCAGACATGGGCCCTCCTCTCTGCCGCCGAGGCGGCGTGCGCTCCGGCCCGCAGGTCGGAGAGCCAGGCGGAAACTCGCCAGTTCCAGGGGATCTCGGAGGAGGAGCGGTAGGCTCAGGTTGGATATCATCATCGCGATCGATCTCACCACCTCGGTTATCATCATCATCATCATCGGGCACCGGTACGTCTTCGCCAGGTACAGATCCACGCTCGTGAGCTGGCTCAAGTACGGGGGCCAGTGGGGTGAGATCCTCGCCCTGCTGCGCCGCACTCGGCTCCGAGCCATGGCCTCCGGGGGCAGAGCTCAAGGGCTCAGGATCGCCGGGACCAAGTCCCCCGCCCGGGGCCCCCTCGGCCACCTGTGGTGCCGGGGCGTGGCTCGTAGCACTAGCGGCTGCACTCGGTGCTGCCGCCGTCGTTCTGCCTGGTAGCGGGGCCTCCTCGGGGAACTCCGCAGCTCCCTCTTCCAGTCCTTCACGTCGTACGTCCAGGAATCCGCGAGGTCCTCGGGGTAGAGCAGCGCCTCGCTGATCTGCTGGCATCTGGTCCCAGGTGATCAGCTCG